CCTTCTCTTACTTTGTTTGCTGTTTAGGCCCTGAAATGCTTAGATGTTTAATAATGAAATACTAATACATATAAAAGAATATATGAAACACACTTAAGGTATAAATAAATCAAATACCTATGATGTGTCATCTCATAAAGCTATAGTTTTAGCTGTTAGAAGTAATTCTGAAGTATCTCAAATAATAATTCCTCTTCTATATTTCCGGACCAGCATTCATCAGTTGAAAGGAAAGGGAGGTTGTTGATAATGATTCTAATAAGAATGTCAGTAATAAAATACCTAATGACCCCTAAATGAAGAGAATTATGTCTAATTTAAAAACAAAGAATGCTTTATGTAATGTGCTTTGTAAATATATGATATTAATGCTTTTTTGTTATTTGCACTTTACATTATAAATTAGTTCCTATTATAATCAGATTAGAAAAAAGAAAAAAAGAATGGAAAGGGAGAAAAGTTAGGGGCCAATAGAACTAGTCAATCTCTAAAAAAAAAAAAAAAAGAAAAGAAAGAATTGTCTTGTTAGAACCATTGAAGTTTTTTTGCAATTTGGTAGAAGGAAAGTAGGAAGCTTAGTGCATCAGAGGCTCTACTTGAACTCTCTCTTACCATGTATCCTTGGAAGCGTGTACAATTATGGATTAGAGTATTCATGGACTCAAATCCCTGTCAGTTATAGTTCTTGGAAATAAATGTGTCAAACTAAAGCAATCTAGTACTTGAATTTCCCTATGAGGTTTTGTTTTGTTTTGTTTTTTGCCATTTCCCTGATTTTGGAAATGCTACATTCAAAGCTATTTTAAAAATATGTAAAGTCTTGGGGCACCTTGGTGGCTTAGTCAGTTAAGCATCTGTCTTTTGTCTCAGGTCATGATCCTGGGGGCCCTGAGATGTAGCCCAGCTCAGCAGGGAGTCTGCGTCTCCTTCTCCTTCTCCCCACCCCACCTTCTGATCATGCTCTTTCTCAAATAAATAAATAAAAATCTTTAAAAAAAGAAAAGAGGAGATCTTTAAAAAATACGTAAAGTCTATCTTTGTAAATGGTTTATTTGTATTTTGGTGACACGGATAACTTTAATAATTGATAATGTTTTATTTTTCGATGCTTTTATAGCAAAGTTTAGTATTTAACTTTAATATGGAATATGGGATCTATCTACATTCATGAATATTTATCAAGTGTAATTTTTATTTTCAATATTTATTATAAAGGAGAATGTTAGTTAAATCCAATCTTGTTTGATTTTAATGCTTTTAGGTATCCCTAAAAGTCAAAATACTTCCCTGTAAAATAGGATCCTCTGGCCTTTTGTATTACATTCAAATATTTACTTTTAAACCTCAACATAGTACTCATTCTACGATTGTTATTCTAACTTGTTTCATAAATTATTCTGATAGTGAGAAATGTACTATATGTCACCTAAACCTCTGAAGATTTTTAACAACAATATGGCTTTCCTGTAAGGCAGTTCAACATGGAGGAAAGAATAGGGTTTTCTATTCTTTAAAAATTATTTTAAACAAAACTGATGAACATAGGAGAAGGGAAAGAAAGAGAAAATAAGATGAAATCAGAGAGGGAGACAAACCATAAGAGACTCTTAACAGGAGAAAAAAAATCTCATAGGGAAATTCAAATACTAGATTGCTTTAGTTTGACACATTTATTTCCAATAACAAGGGTGCTGGAGGGAAGGTGGGTGGGGGGATGGGGTAACTGGGTGATGGGCATAAGGAAGGCATGTGATGTAATGAATACTGGGTGTTTTATGCAAGTGATGAATCACTAAATACTATCCCTGAAAATAATAATACACTGTATGTTAACTAACTTGAATTTAAATAAAATCTAAAAAAAAAAAAATCCAAGGTAATTCTTCTTAGACATTTTCTTAGTGGCAGCCACCAGTGGAAAGGAGAGGGAAGGAGGGGTTCATCAGTATGGTGTTAGGAGTGACAGTTTTGAACCTGTTTCAATGCTAGTTTCAGGACTCTAGTAGGCAAGTTATACTTACCTTTTCTAGTACCCACCTTCTTCCTTTGGAAAATGATAATGATGGGTACCTATTCCATAAAAATCTAAGATTTTTATAGAAAGAAAGTATATAAAGCACATAGCATAATGCTTGGCACACAAAATGTGCTCAACAGATGTTAGTTATCTTCCATTTTCATCTTAATTTTCCTTATTTAATTCTGAAATAATTTGTAAATTAGTTCTAAGTCACTTTAAGGGAAAGTGCTGACCCCTTAAGAAATAGGCTTAAAATAGAAAATGTTTGTCTGTAGTTAAGTCAACATAAATGGAGATGTTTTTAACCTCCATCAGGTAAAAGAGCTTAATTTGCTTTCTTCTAACTTGGGTACGGGTGGCTCAATCACCAAATGACAGAATTCTTAGATTCTGAGTGTTTTTCATATGAGGATAAAAAAATTGTTAAAATTCATATGGGATAAATGGTCCTTCTACTTATTTCTAAAGCCTACTTTTCAGAGTTCACATTTGACGGTAAATATTTCCCCAAATAGATTTTAGCATAGAGGTGTTAGTTCCAGTGCTTTTTTATACAGTTAAATACATCAAATTCAGCAGTTTGGTGTGGGTGTGGCAGGGATTGGAGAAATTATTAAATGACAACTTCTATTAACCAAAATATAGCTATATTTTAGAGAGTAAAAATAGTAGCTATATCACTTCAGTTCATGAAGACTTAGCTGATTTTTAATAATTAATATTTTTTTTCTGCCAGTGAGCATTAGATTTCTGCTGACTTTTTAGTGTCATAGTACCTCATGGTAGTTTCTCTACAGGGTTTAAAGGTATATCCCAGTGCTTTTTTTTTTTCTGTCCTGTCCATAGGAAATAATCTTTACAAATGCTGTAAGGAGGCTGCCTCTAGAGATTCACACGTGCCATTAATATGTTATAAGGATCGGTCAGTTGCATTGTCTTCTCTTGTCAATCTTGATCGGAGCTTGCCGAGTAAGTCTATAAGCCTGCATGTGCCTGGCAACTGTTACCTAGTGACAGTTTCAGCTGCAGTAGCCATTGGCTGTGCTGTTGATTGGGGCAGGAGGACCGAGTCACCTTTCTGATGGTGAGTTCTTCTGCATCAGCTCAGGATGAGGAGGAGGAGCAGGGCTCCGGCTCAGGTGGAGGCAGTGATACTGAGAGATTGTGAAGAATATACCGACAGCATCCTGGTAACTGCATCACAGTAAATCAGACTTCTGAATCAAGCAGCCCAGCCTAGCAGCTGATAAGAGTGAATGTAGGTGAGAAGATTGCCTTATTCCTGTAAGAAGAGAACTATTTTGTGATAAGTGAAACTAGGAATGTACAAGGAGGAATATCCTGTGGCTATTATAAAAGAAGAAAGACTTCCCTGAATGACTTGGTGGTGCACGAGAAAATAACTTTCAGAAGAATGCTTTCTGTTAAGCTACTGCTTTTTTCCTGAAGGAAATGTTTTTATTTCTAATGCATGTTATTTCTTCAAGAGGTATGACAACAAAGACAGACAAGAAACTCTGAAATACCTGTACTTTCAAAAAGATTTTTGACAAATGTTAACCTGATACCAGAATGACCTTGGAAGCCTTTTGGATGGATTCTATCCTGCAAGCCTTTCAGTATTTCAAAGTCTAGGATTTAAACTCATCTTGATGCTTTAGAGGTATAAAATAAGACCATCTTAAAACCTATCTAATGGCCCCTGTATTAATTGAGCTCTTGCTCAAAATAGAATACAGAAATACAAGAGGCATTTTCTTAACATATGGCTGCTATGTAACTGCAGATATAACAAACAAGGTAATTTTCCACTTTCAGAAGATTTAGTCAAAGTAATCATCGAATGTGTTAATCCTCTGATGAAAATAGAAGAGATATAGAAACATAGACTACGAAGCCTAGTGGAAATACCTAAGTAATGAATAATGGTAGTATTTCTAGTCAAAAAGCTCAGAGTTTATAAGAAAGTTTCTGTTGTCTAAATTTCATATTTACATATATATGTGGGTTATAGATATGGTTGCAAAGGTGAGCAATAACTTTGAGCTATGTATTTTATGATCGTGTTCCATTATAAGGAAGGTGGCATATCAGATAATGGAAGTTATTTTCAGTTTTTGAGGTTGAGATTAGTTACTTATTTTCCCTTTGAAAAGGAAAAAGTATAAATTACATTATTGGTGGTAGCACTAGTAATTGTAATGGACTAAAACTGTTTTCATATGAATGCTTAAAAATTGCATGCATAATCAAAACTTTAAAGTTTATCATATTTTGTCAGGTGTTAACCCATTGTATATTACCTTCCCTATTGGAAATGCTTTTGTTTCCTCATGAGAGTTATAGGGCAATCTGGAGTCTGTTACCTCTGTTCTGCTCCTTTGTGCCCAAGTACAGCTGAGTCTTTTAGAATTAACCTTTGTGTGTATGTGTGTCAGGGGTGGTGGGAAGGGGTTAGCTTTTTTTGAGAAATGAGAGAGAATTAGATCGTGAAGTTGATCTACCAGCATCAAACCCTGAACAGAGTCCACAGACACTCTTTGCTGCAATGAACTTTTTCTTAGATTTGCAACTAGATCTTAGATCTTAATTATTTAAATTGTAAAATATGAATCCACTTCTCATGATAGATGAAGCAGGAAACCTGAGACAATTTAAGACTTTTCCTTTTCTCATTCTTTTTAGTTGATCCCTAACAAACAACCTTTCTGAAGAGACCAAACAGCCCACAAAGGGTTTTCTTCCCTTGGCAATTGATTCTCTTTTCTTTTTCCAGATTTAATTTTTTATAGTACAAGGTGATCCATTTTCTATAGAAGTGCCTGTGTCTTCAGAAAGTTTGAGAGCACTGGAGGAAGCTAATCAGTGACCTTTCTTCACCTCCTTTCTAGCTTGCTTCCCTTTCTTCCCCCCTAAAGTTGAGATGTGTCACTGCTGTACTGAGCTGATGAAGAGGCTTGAGTACTCTCTTGGAGGCTCGGCTGTGACAGAAGCACTGCCACTGTCTACTGAAGCTGATCCCAAGACACTCTTGTGCAGAGTTTAACACATGCTGGACAGGGCACCTGCTTGCTGGAGCCAAGGCTACACGTTCCATTAATTCCAAGCCATGAATGAATCCAGGTGGACTGAATGGAGCATCCTGAACGTGAGCAGCGGCATTGAAAATGTGTCTGAACGTCACTCCTGCCCACTTGGATTTGGCTACTATGGTGCAGTGGATGTGTGCATCTTTGAGACCGTTGTTATTGTCTTGTTGACATTTCTAATCATTGCTGGGAATTTAACAGTCATCTTTGTCTTTCACTGTGCTCCACTCTTGCACCATTATACTACCAGCTATTTTATTCAGACAATGGCATATGCTGATCTTTTCGTTGGAGTTAGCTGCTTGGTTCCTACTCTCTCACTTCTTCACTACTCCACAGGTATCCATGAGTCATTGACTTGCCAAGTTTTTGGATATATCATCTCAGTTCTAAAAAGTGTTTCTATGGCATGTCTTGCTTGTATAAGTGTGGATCGCTATCTTGCAATAACCAAGCCTCTTTCCTACAATCAACTGGTCACCCCTTGTCGCCTGAGAATTTGCATTATTTTAATCTGGATCTACTCTTGCCTCATTTTCTTGCCATCCTTTTTCGGCTGGGGGAAACCAGGGTACCATGGTGACATTTTTGAATGGTGTGCCATGTCTTGGCTCACCAGTGCCTATTTTACTGGTTTTATTGTTTGTTTACTTTATGCTCCTGCTGCCTTTGTTGTCTGCTTCACTTACTTCCACATTTTCAAAATTTGCCGGCAGCACACCAAAGAGATAAATGACCGGAGGGCCCGATTTCCTAGCCACGAGGTGGATGCCTCTGGAGAGACTGGACACAGCCCTGACCGTCGCTACGCCATGGTTTTGTTTCGGATAACCAGTGTGTTTTACATGCTATGGCTCCCTTATATAATTTACTTTCTTCTAGAAAGCTCCCGGGTCTTGGACAACCCAACACTGTCTTTCCTAACAACCTGGCTTGCTATAAGTAATAGTTTTTGTAACTGTGTAATCTATAGCCTTTCCAACAGCGTTTTTCGGCTAGGCCTCCGAAGACTATCTGAGACAATGTGTTCATCTTGTATGTGTGTGAAGGATCAGGAAGCACGAGACCCCAAACCTAGGAAACGGGCTAATTCCTGCTCCATTTGAAGAGAACTGTATAGTAAATGAAATGTAATCTGATAGGGGTTTTGGATTGTATTCTTGATTTATCTGGAGATTTGCCACTAGAGAAATATTTACTTAGATAGTTGACTGTAAGATAAAGGGACTAAAGTTTTCTTTTTTTTTTTCCCCCTCTTTTTTCCACAGTGGTGGTGGCGGGGAAACTAGAGAAAAGAATGTATAGAGGGTGATCTCATGAGATAATTATAGTGTATGAGTATAATTGTACAGTAATAGCAAAATTAAGCACTGAGGATGAAAAAAAGTATTGGAAAAAGTATCTCCGATCTTCCACAGGACATGAGCAAAGCCCCTCGGCATCTCTGTCTTCTTTGGCTGAGCTCTCTCCTCTGTCTTTGCCTCTCGTTCTGTCTGTCTCTGTCTCTCTCACTCTTTGTGGAAATTACTTAAATAAATTGCCCTTTATGGGAAAATGCTGCATATTATATATGTGGCAAATACAATTTTTTGCATCAAAGTATACTTTTAGACATACTAATTTGCAATCCATAAGTGGTTTCTCCATGAAGGATGCATAGTAAGCATTGTATTTTATTACCTGCCACATAACCCTTTTGTTTTTATAAAATCCACAGTGCAAAATTTCTGCTATAAACAAAAAGAAATAGTATTTTTTTTCCTTCTGGGTAAAATTGTGCTTAACCTCCTTCCCCCTTTCTGACAGCCTATTTTTTTTTCTCTCTTTTTTTTCTTGATCTGCATCCAAAAGTACCTTAATCCAAAAGTGTCTTAGCTAATGAAAGAATCTACTATATAAAGCAATCATAATGTTATCTGTTCCTTCCAACAAAGCAATCTATAGCTTGTTTGAGATATTGTGTTAAATATTTTAATAGCTTTTGTAAACATTTTTATCTGGTTCTTTTTCAATTAGTTATGTGCCCAAAGTCGTATCTTTTTTTTTTTTTTTTTTTTTTTTTGCTGTAATAAGGTTTTGTTTTTCTTTAAGAAAACCCACAAATAATTCTAGTGCAGCATAGAATATTCACCCCAGAAGTGAGATATTGATTGCTCTTCAGGTCATGCCTTTTTTTCTCCCTTAGGAGTAAATACTAACCTTTTTGTGTTACGTCCGTGAAGCTTAGTGTTGTGTCCACCAATCATTTGTATGATATGCATTTGCATATACTATATTTTTTACAACAAAGAAAATGTAAATTATATTATGTGATCTGTGCCTAATGTTTTCTTAGCACAATATATAGATCAATGTTGCTTAAGTCATCAACATTGGAAAAAATATACAGGAACTTCTTTGAAGAGAAAAATACTTTTGTGTAGTTGTTATTTAGATATTTATATTAGACCAAGCTGCATTCTTAGTACTGCTGAGAATACAATATACTTAATTATCAAGTACAGGTAAGAGCTGTCAGTATTTTCTTTTGTAATCTGTTTTCATACGCAAAGATTAACTTATTTTTTAGTGTGCTACTTGGAATTGTATAATAAATTGTCAGGGGTTTAGATGTAGCAAAGTGGCATTTGGGGAATTAGTAGTAAAGCAGGTGTGAGTGATACAACATACAAATCTTACTTTTTTACTATAAGTTTCCTGCCTGACAGATATTTTAAAGTTTATATCAAACTACTGAGTATTTTTCTTCTCAGCATTTTGATTTCTTTGTTTTACGAAATGCATTTAATGAAATGTGCCTATGACTTCAAATTGGAAGTCAGCTGTGTTTGCACACTAGTAGTTTGACTTCAGAGGTCCTTTAAGAGAAATGTCATCACTTTATTGAGGTTGTTCTGAACCCATGTATATTTTTAAACATGTAAGAAAGGTTTAAAATAATGAATAAAATAGTATTCTATATATCAAAATCAGACTTTGTTTCAGTTTAATTAAACACTCACTTAGAACAAGAAGTTTGCTTGTTTGGAAATAAAAATTTAATTGTTTGACATTCCTGTGGTTTAGGTAATGTATATTAATTCTTGCTCTGTGTTTGCCAGTAACATTTGGATAAGTTGAAATGAGCCTTTAAATTTAGACCAGTTCAAGGAAAACAAAATTCAAGAAAGCATAATACTACTAACTTTTCAGCTGTCACAAATAGAATCTTCAACATTGTGTGCATTATTTGGGAATCAGATTTTTATTTCTTTAGTTTAATGTGTAAATATAATTAGATATTCTGTAGAGGAAACCTGATGCTGTGTTTATTGCATTTTTCTCTTCTGGCTTTTCCTCATGATAATTAATAATAATTATGTGTCAAGTTTTAATACTGTGTTGTTTTATATATATTATAACATTTAATCCTCACTACACCCCTTTCAGATAGGTACTGTTGTTATTCTTGTCCTAAAGATGAGGAAACTAAAGAAGGGTGATTAATGCAAGGTCACTCAGTAGCAGAGGTTCATTCACACTCAGGTGGGTTGGAGCCACTCTGCTCTACTGCTTTTTTTTTCCTCAAAAGCTTTCAGATCTTTGTACCTCTGTCTGTACCTTATCCTTACAAAATTTCTCTGAGTTTTTTTTTTCCTTGCCGAAATCTTTTGCTTTAGTCCTTTACATATCTTGTGATATCTTTTTCCTTGATCTTACAAATTGCTTTTATTAAAACATCATTCTAGTAAGCCCAAACTTACCACTTTAGTCTATAATCAAAATGAAACCTTAGGGTATAGCATTTCCTTGACATTGTCTTTATTCACTTTTTTTAAATTTTTGTTGAAGTTTCATCAGATCTCTGTACATTTCCTATTGAAAAACAATTTTTGATGAAGGAGAACAAAGAAGGGAGCCTTAATGTAGCCTACAAGTTTTAGGTTTAGATTTTTCATTTATTATGTTTTACATGCAACTTGAAGGCAAGCCACTTCACTTCCTTTTGACATATTTTAACATATGTTTATGTAGTATGATAATGCTTATTTTGAAACTACTCTTCTTTTAGATTAATGTATTTTAAGAATAGAAAGCATAAGCATTATTCTCATTATTATACTGCATTCAATGGTAATTATCCAATTTGGTTATAAGTGACAGCCAAACAATAATGCTGTAGTCTATTACTGAAGGTTCTCTTACCTGTGGAGACGTTTCTAAAGTTATGTAGTGTTGGAAGGAAGTCTTTATAACCCAACAGTGTATGAAATCTGGACTGAAATCCTGTCTTCCTGTTTGGCCTTAGGTAATATACCAAGTCCTCAGTTTTCTCATCAAAAAAACCCAGACACTTGTACCTTCCTGTTAGGCTGGATTTGAGGACTAAACAGGATAATGTAGGCTATGTGCTCAGCATGGCTCCTGGCACATGGAAAACATTCAGAATATGGTAGGTCCTGTTTCACTATGGCTGCCATATTTATTGCCATCATAATTTAAAGATCACTAATTCCAATTTAAGAAAATTACATTTTATAATGTGCTTAATCCATGGGGTTTAAGAGTTGCCTAAAATAGCATTTTTTCAGATCTGTTTAAACTCAGATTTGGCTTAAACTCAGATATTTTTAAATATAGAAGACGTCAATAATTTCTGAAAGCACATTTTCCAGGAATAATTATTCATGAAGACATTTGAGATTAAGGATAAACTAGCAAGCAGTTGGGATAATTCTGAGATGAATTTACCTCCTTACCTGATTGTATTAAAATATGCTTAAACATTTTTCTTTTGTCAGGTTGGCAGTAGTAGGAAGGATTGTTGAGGAATGTTTTGCCATTTTTCTTTACATTTTAGTTTTATTCATTTACTGAATGGAATTTAAGGTATTTTGTTATATCCATGTTACCTGGAAGAAACAAATATTTACCAGCAGGTTCATTGTACATATAGCACTGATTTATGAGTTTAGAAATAAATGAAGTTGTTGCCTTAAAGGACTTTCCTCTGTCTTTCTCCCAGGAAGTTAATCATTAGATATGAAAAAGATATAATTGTGTGATAAAGGAGGTTAAGATGTGGGGAATTTGCTAGTATAATGTGTTCATGTAAGGCATCACAATGCATAGGAGCTTATGTTACTGAGTTGATGTGATATTCTGGTGTGTAGATTCCAACAGTTGCTCTTCTCCATGAACAAAACTTTATTTTTGGATTAAGAAGAATATGTAGAAAGTGGCATACTCTACAACCAAATATATAGACATTGAGGAAAGTGAAATGACTAGAAAAGAAAAAAATGAAACAGATTCTCTTTTCAGTTTTTCTTGTGAGTTTTATTCAGTGCTAGTTTTGGTCTGTAAAATAGTCATAACTTTAATAGTATAAATATTTGTCTTTTAAAATATTAAAAGTGATGTAATCAAGTCTTTTCTAAATATTCTGTTTAATTTTTTTAGATGAACATTTACTTCTTTTATAATCAGAAAAATAAATTTGGTTTATTAAAAAGAACACTGAGGGTACCTGGGTGGCTTAGTTGGTTAAGCATCTGCCTTGCACCCAGGTCATGACTCTGGGGTCCTGGAATTGAGCCCCAGGTCCAACTCCTTGATCAGTGGGGAGTCTGCTTCTCTCTCTCCATCTGACCCTCCCCCTACTCATGCTCTCTTTTTTGTTCTCTCTCAAATAAATAAATAAAAATCTTTAAAAAGACTGCTGGAAAAAAATGCTATTTAAAAAAATATTTTGAGGGGTATCTATGGTTAAGTGTTGGAGTCTTGATACTGGCTCAGGTCTTAAGATTGAGCCCCACATCAAGCTCTGCACTCAGCATGGAGTCTGCTTGAGATTCTTCCTCTCCCTTTCCTTCTGTCCATTCTCCTTCTTGCATGTGTACGCTCTCTCTCTCAAATAAATAAATCTTTAAAAAATATTTTGACATTTCACAAAACAATTTTTGTTGATTCTACAAGTAACATTATCCAGTTAGGTTTCAATACTATTTTTTTTGAAGAGAGTCTATATTGTTTTCTCAACAGTTTCATACATCATCCAGTGCTCACCACAAGTACATTCTTTAATCTCCATTATGTATTTAACCCAGTCCCCTTGCCCTCTTCTCTGTAACCATCAATTCTCTATAATTAAGAGTCTGTTTCTTGATTTGTCTCTCTCATTTTCCCCCTTTGCACATTTGTTTTGTTTCTTAAATTATACATATGAGTGAGATCATGTGTTATTTGTCTTTCTCTCATTTTGCTTAGCATCATACTCTTTAGCTTCATTCATGTCATTGCAAATGGAAATATTTCACTCTTTTTTATGGCTGTATAATATTCCATTGTTTTATGTATATAACACATCTTCTTTATCCATTCATCAGTCAATGGACACTTGGGCTGCTTCTATATCTTAGCTATTATAAATAATGCTGCTATAAACATAGGAAGTGCATATATCACTTTGAATTCATGTTTTTGCATTCTTTGGGTAGTCATGCTATTGCTGGATCATAAGATAGTTCTATTTTTAACTTTTTGAGGAGCCTTCATATTATTTTCCACAGTGGCTATACCAGTTCTCATTCTCACCAGTCGTTCAAGGTTTCTTTTTCTCCACGTCCTTGCCAACACCTGTTGTTTCTTGTGTTGTTGATCTTAGCCATTCTGACAGGTGTGAGCTGATATCTCATTGTAGTTTTGATTTGCATTTCCTCAGTGGTAAGTGATGGTGAGCATCTCCTTATGTGTCTGTTGGCCATCTGGATGTCTTCTTTGGAGAATATCTGTTCATGTCATCTGCCCATTTTTATTATTTGTTTTTTGGGTGTTGTATCAGTTCTTTACATATTTTGGATACTAACTCTTTATCATATTATCATTTGCAAATATCTTCTTCTATTCCAGGTTGTCTTTTAGTTTTGTTGATTGTT